TTTAGCGTAAAATGATTTCTGCGATCAAATGCCATGCTAGCATCTGAAAAACATGTACACTAGGCTGCAATTTCGCAAATAATAATCAACAATTTGTTGAAAGACAAAAATACATATGTATCTGTGGAGTTACCTGATTCTATAGCAAACCATTGATTTCCTTATTTGATATAATAATTACGTACATAATATAATAAAAGACATAAATAACATAACATGAAACGTACATAATAAAATAACAAACGTAAATAGTATAATACTAAACATACGTAATATAATAATAACGTACTTAATATAATACTAAATGTAAATAATATAATAATAAACATACATAATATAATACTAAACGTACATAATAAATATAATAATAAACGTGTATAATATAATGACAAACATATATAATATAATAATAAACATGAATAATATAATAATAAACGTACATAATATACTAATTGGCTTAAATAATATAATAATAAACATATATAATATAATAATAAATTCAAATAATATAATAATAAAAGTAAATAATATAATAACAAACGTAAATTATATAATAGGAAACATAAATAATATAATATTTTTTGTAGGCTTAAGACAGCTGGGGCTTGCCATAGCATGCTGTACCGCATGTCATTAGGTCTGCAGTGTTTTTCTTAGAGTAGGCATTATACTGGATATCAGCGCATGCTGTACCACATGTAATATTACAAATAGATAGTAATATATATGGTTTCTTTGCATTTTACTCAGGATATCAGCGCATGCTGTATCACATGTCATATACAGGGTTTCTTCTTTGAGTAGGAAAATGAACTATAAAACAAAAAAAAAATAAGTTTTTTTTTTAATGTGTATTAACTAATAACTAATAATTGAATTCCTCTGGGTACCACAGTGGATATCAGCGCAAGCTGTACCACATGTCACGTAAAGGGTTCTTCTTAGAGTAAGTAGCGTACTGGATACCATGTCATACAGGGTGGGTTTCCTAGATTAGGTAGCATATTGATAGAGAGAAAGCATACATATTATTAAATGTTGCAGGCCAAGATGCCATTGAAAAAAAGTAGGAGTTTTACCTACAAACCTGCAATTACTGATGCTGACGGCAACGTTACTCCAGCTGAGTCCCCTGAAAAACTGGCAGACTAGTGACACCGGCATTGCATGGATGAGATTATTAAGTGTCTTCGTTTTATAGACGTCCTATATATAATAGGTGTCTATAAAACGAACATCGACAACCCGAAAAACGAAGACCCACATTTTTTTCTCTTAATCGTGATAAAAATAATGTGTTTTTTTTTTGTTTTTTTTCTGTTTTTTTTTTTAATCATTTCATGCTATGTATATATAATATTTATACTTTCTAGCACATTAATTGCCTGAATTTGAGTCAATTTAATGTTATTCTGGTGGAGGTCTTCGTTTTGCAGGTCTTCGGTCTTCGTTTTGTAGACACTCAGGGTGTCTATAAAGAGAAGACACTTGATAACATCACAAACAAAAGTACAAATAATCTCCTAATTATGATTTTGTGACAGTCTGGTGTAGTATCATTAAAAAAGAGAGAAAAAGTGTGGGTCTTCATTTTTCGGGTCTTTTGTTTTCGTTTTGTACACACCCATATAGGATGTCTATAAAACGAAGACCCTTGAAAACTTCACAAACAGACATCCCAAAAAATTTCGCAATTTTGATATTGTGACTGCCTGGTGTATTATCATTAAAATAAAAAAGAAAAAAAATAGGGGTCTTCGTTTTTGGGTCTTCTTTCTTCGGTCTTCATTTTATAGACACCCATCAATTAAATGTGGAAGAAAACAAATTTTCGGGGTTAGAGCGCACCTCTCAGTGTCATCTGCCGATGAATGTGCGTTCTCTGGGGTTGAAAATTGGAAATATAAACATTTTGTGGAAGTCTGGTTTGTGTGTATACTGTAGTAGTCAATGTAGTATAAATGTGTTTCTCGAAACCTGGAAAATATGCTCGATTAAGTTGTTTATTTCGTCGCACAGCATAAAAACATCGCACTTGTGTTTCTCTAATATATTTGGTAGGGTCAACAAGTGCCCTTGTACACTGCCATAGTTGAAAAATTAAGAGAGGTTGACACATGTACTGCCTAGCTAGATACAATTATCTGTGGTCTGACCTAGGGTCAAGAATTGCCCTACTAACAGCCAGCCCACAATCCTCTTTACAGGAAATATAAGCAGTTGGTATAACAACATAATGATCAGCCATAATACTACTCAACTTCCATAATATACCACTCAACTGCCATATACAAGTTAACTGCAATAAAATAATAGTGAATGTGTATAATATAATAAGGAAGGAGACAATATAATAGTGAATTAAACAAAATAATAATGAATGTACATAATTATAATAGTGTGTATTGAAAATATAATACTAAACTTTTATAATACTGTATAATAATAAATGAACGACATATAATAACAACATACATAATATAATAATAGACGTAAATAACATAATACTGAACATACATAATATAATAACAAACGTAAATAATACACTACTAGACACACATAATATAATAACAAACGTGTATAATATAATACTTAACCTATATAATATAACAACATACATTAATAACATC